AAATGGTTAAACACAGAAACCCACGAAGTACATACTGGAATCTGTATCCATCCCACTTTGGCTGTAGTGACCGTCCAGAATGCGATCAACTTATTCTTTATGAACATGTCTAACGTTTCTATACGTTAGTATTTTTATGATAACTTTGCATCAATGATATCATTACAAGTCACTTTCAACTTTCACGTAAAACTCCATGCTTGCTATTTTACGGTTTCGCCTACTTGAATAAAACTCATCGCTGAATAATGATAATTTGTTGCAGAGTCAGCAAAAACAGACACAAAATGCCTTCACATCCCGGTAAATAAATAACAATCTCTAGATGTTATCTCCTCATATCATGATTGTTCTGTTCACATTACGTTCGTTGCATAACCAACACCGGAGTGATTATGAATTTTTGTCCAAAATTTACATCCACCAGTTGATTTGACCTCCATTTACCCATAGCAATGACTGTTTAAATAGTGAAGTAGTTTTGCTATTTATCTTAAATTGGCTAGTGCATTCCACCTGTTTTCGTGGATTTATATCTGCAGCGCTTGAAGTCGAAGTTATCGAAGACGATTGTTCATTTAAATTAATCGTCTTCTGATTGAAAGAAATCCCCATATTAATGAATGAATCAGTTCGAAAAACATTAAAAACAGGAAATAAGAGAAATAGTTGAATTCTGTCACAACAAGTTATTTTAAGCTCGATGTACTTAGTGTATCCTCTCCCCACTAAAATATGGTTTAGAAACTTCAAGAAAAAGGTACAAGGTTAGAAGAATTTATGGAAATCTTGATTTTTATTGTATACGATAAAATGTTAAAATAATTCAATAAATCTGTACTTTTAATAATAGACAAGTTTTTAGAAGTCATATTTCTTGGCAGCTCATTTCTACTAGCAGCTTTCTACTAAAATATTTTACCAAACATGAATAACATTTGTCTTATGCGCATACATTAACATTCTTTCACTACAACCCCTTCAGACTGACCAAGAGGCCAACAATCAGTCATTGGTGACTCATTTTTAAAACTATACTAAACTTTCTTTCTGAATCAGGCATCAAAGAAAAGAAAAAGCCTGACAGTCATTACAGCATGTGGACCAATAACTCGTTGGATTTCAAAAATAATTCACAATAATTCTTGCAGTAGCGACTGGATGGTAAAATGACACTGCAAAACTAAGAAATTGTTGGTTTTACGGTAAGATAGAAAAACTTGTTTTTTAAAAAAATTCTAACCTACATAGGGTGAACTGTCTCTGTTATTTAGCCGCTGATTATCTGGTGGAAAGTGTTCGAGTAATTCAATTCAGCGTTCTCTATATTCAATTCAGTTAAACTAAGTTAGAATGGGAAATCTTTATGACTTTATTTATCTATCTCTTTCTCTGTATCTAGAACTTATAATTTCTAGCATAAAGATGTAAATTACAACTTGGTATAACCAGTAAAATTTGAACGTAATACGATTTTGGTAGACATATGCCGTTCAGTTTTCCCATCAATCTTTTGATGGACATTAGGAATAGGTTTATAAAAAATGAAATATTGAAATGTAAGAGAAGGCGGAAAAATATCCACTTGATTATCCTCAAGAGTGAGCTAAACATTACAGTTACAACACTGCTGAATATTTTAAAAACTTTGCGAATACTTATATGCAGATAGTGAAGATGTCTGACTACACATTTAATTCTCTTTGAATGAAAGTCTTTAGCATGTGAAAAGTGAACAATATGGATAAACACCATTCTTGAGATAAATATTAATACTCCTGCTCATAACAAAGCGCAGGAAAATTTAACACCCTTTAAATTTAGGCAGTATGAAAAATATTGATGTATTTATTTGAGAATACTACTCACATTGTTATCATTATATGGAATGTGCCCAGCATAAAAACTTGGAGTATCCTGTAAGAAGTTATTCTGCCGAAAATCTGATTTTGCAAGTTCCGAATGAATAGCAGTTAATTGATGACGTAAAGATTTATTCATGGAGTACTTTATAAGCTGATTTTATGTCTGACCTATGACTAGTTTCTAGGATCTGTTTGGCATTATCGAAGCCCGGCCATTCATAGATTCAAACCCTCTTTTATACATAAAAAACGATTTCTACTCAAATTGAACCCACTTTGGAAGTACTGATTTCAGTTTTCACGCCAAGAAAGATGTCATTTAGATTTTTTGTTCTGCCCTAGTAATTCAGTTATCTCCTGTTGACTTAAGTGACATTCTTCATAAACTTCCATATAAACAGTTCAGAAAGTTCATATGTCATCAGATTATTCGGAATGTATAGCACTGATACATCACATGTTTCAGATAATCTTCATTTTTTCTTTACGCCGTTTAAGTTTATTAAAGGGACTAATTGCCTTAAAGTTTATTTAGTATGCATTTACATGAGCGGCTGAATGTCTTGTTGAACGCAAATGGGTTATAAGTTTATGTAAACTATGCAGTTTGTTTCATACTTGTACTAATATGCTAACATATATCGATAAAAAGAGCAGAAATAACTCATAGCGCTTTTCTCAACCTATTCCTAAAGCAATTTATGAGAAAATCAAATGGTCATAAGAACACAAACAAAAGCTAACAAAATGTGTTTCCTTGATGATATCAGTCATTTACTGGGGGAAGAAAAAGACAGTGAGCAGAGAAGGACAATAACTGTATAACTAAGATTGAAAAGGTAAAAGAATAAATCCTACACCCTTACCAGCATTGTGAACGAAGTGATGAAAATCAATAAACTATTGGGGAGATAAAGTGCATTAAAATCTAATTCACAACTTTTTAAATAAGCAATTTATACATAGACGTCGGAAAATAAAATAAAAAATCACTCTACAATCAAATAACTTTTTGCAATGCCATCATCATATGATCGACGTCAAAGCGACAGATTTAACCCAAAATAACTACTCATGCACAGACGCATACAAACGCATATAGCATACAAGTGAGGCTTTTGTGCAGTCACGATAGAAAAGCTAACTAACAATATACTTTTTTATTTTTGCATGAATAAATAAGAAATGAACTTGACTACTAGTTGGCTTCAAGTATGAGATTCATCATAAATGACGTCATTTATGATGACGTGTACCCCTTTTTCTTCTTCTTATGATGTCAGAAAGTCAACAGCGTGCAATCAAAATTAAAAATTTCATCTGCGATTCAACATATAGCATATCAATGATGGATCGTGGCTAGCAGTGGAATCCAGGATGCGCATTTCATCCTATTTGGGACTCGTCAGCTGGATGTACCTGCCTCCCAGTGAGTGATGTTGTTCCCACCGGGATTCGGACTTGGGAGCGAACGCTTTAAACGCCAGGGCGTTATCCATTACACCACCGAGCCACGATAGCCACTTCTTGTGCGACGGATATAATTTTAGTATAGTTGTTTTTATATCATACCGTCGTTGCTTGGACCGAATTGATCAGTCTCTAATGGCATATGGGTTCCTGTGCGGATGCCTCGATATTGCCTGAGTTCTAAATATATTGATAATGTTCTACCATATTCTTACAGAAATTGCCAAAAATCTCATCTGCATGGACTAAACTGACTGATATATACTACAGTCAACCTGTTAAGAACAGAATTCAACCTAACTGTTATAGTGTCAATAGCTTGTACAGGTTTTATTCTGTGAAGAAGCGATTTCCACGAAGTCACGAAAAGTCAGAAATTTATTTTTCCACTTCACTTTGATTTTACAAATATATCTCACTTATAATCTATCTATATTTTGAAGAATTTCATCCTGTATTGAATACTAGATGAAACTCACTGCAGCATCTTTTGGCATAGTTAAATAATTACAGTGTAGTACTGGAATGTAATAGTGATCATTATTCCCTGAACCCTTGACATTTGGTGGAAATTAATATTCTTCAGAATGACTTGTTCTCTGAGCTTAGAGTCTTAGTTGGAAAACATTTCACTATCATGTTAGACATCGTCATCAGTCGATCAGACTTTAACAGGGAAGTGAAGTAATTGGTTGTGTATAGATAGTTATGGTGTTTCAATGTTAAATTGGAACGTTTGGCAACTGAAACCTAGTTCAGAGGACAAATCGCTGTAAACGTCAACACCCGGAGCTATAAATAATTGCCACAGTCACTAATGTTCTCCTTCAAAGGAATGTTATTATCTACTGTCTCCCGATTTCTAGATCTACGAAAAAAGATGCAGACAGATTTTATAGACAGACTGAAGGCACTGTCAAATTCTCAGCATCCATCCACTTCTTTTTGTATAACCTTATGAGATGAGAAGCTGCTTCTCGGTGTTGCACTATGTAAACTAGATGGCTCGGTCATAAAGCTTTCATTGTTATTTCTGACGAAAAATGTCATCACAGACCTCAAACTGAATCAAAACATAAGAACTTCTTTATAACAGCTTCTCCGACTAAAATATGCACAGAGGTAGTGATGAATCAACTAGGTGACAGGTCATCGTTGTACACTACTCATTTGGTAGTAAGAAAATTCCTAGAGCTAACTTCTTTCTTAAATCTCACTGAATGATATCGTCTACAGAAACCATGAATACTTCAAAACTAAGCTATTCAAACAAAATAACATCGGAGTTCTCCTCCTGACTCCTAAGTATTTTCCATAACTTTAGGTACCCGACTTCTCACCTAAAGTAAAGGAATATATACTGGTACGTTACAAAACAATCTAAAACGTGTACGCTGACATAAAAAAGTATGAAAATTTAAGGAAGAAGCACTATCTCATAGCCTGAAATCTAAATATATAATTGCATCAAAGCAGAACTGTATGCTTATACTCAGAAGTCAATACGTGGTGCAAGAAAGAGTAACCTTTGTTAACAGGCATAATTCTATGACCCTGTCGAAATGAATTTATCTAAAAACTGTCAAATGCAGACTTACAATGAAATTTATGGAAAATAAAAATTTATGTTTCAAAGAGTTGACATTAGTAAAAAGATTTACTTACGTTTCAAATCGACAAAATTTGCACATTATAATATTAGTTTTATGAAGTTTTTCTGTACACATACGGCAGAAATGTCCATGGCAATTGGCACATCGAATAACGGGTTGCAAAAGAGGCACAAATAGAACATTGCAATTATTACACCGACCTTCACCAGTAGATTCAGATTTCTTAATGCGAAGTTTTTGTCTGTCAATCAATTCTTGTCTCAAATGTCTAAAAAAGCAAATCAAAATAAAATAAAGTGAAAAGCGATTGTAAAGACGGCAAAAAGTTGTTACAAACAAGTGAATTTTTCACTAACGGATAGTTTCATTCTCAAATGATATAGTTGAAAATCCTGATCCAAAACGACTAAACCTGAAAACGTTCAAGAGGATATTAACTTAAACTTAGTAATCCTATTACGTTTAACCAGGATGATATTCATTGTAAGCAAAATGATAAACGGTACTTCTACCTTGATTCACTACATTCACAATCCAGTCTTTCTAATGATAGGACCAGAAGTATGATGATCAGAAATAGAAGAGATATATACTTTCAATGACATCTATAGGCCGTGAATTCGATACCAATGAAGGTCAGTGACATAAAAGCGAGAGACATCCCCACTGATTTTCATGTATTTTCGCTAATGCTTTGTAATGTTCAACATCCTCTTAGATAATCTTAAGCTAAGATGAAGTAATCCTGTTTTCATTGCAACTGCTATTTTCGTTTATAATACTTTATACTAGCTTAATAAGTTGTAATAAACTATACTGTTTGACCGGGATCAAACAATATTTACCATATTCAGGCAGTGAATGATGGATATTAATTTTAAGAAGATTAAAATACAATAAAATCTTTTTTCTTTCTGTGTCATTCATTTTTATCTCTAAATGTTCTTATCATTTTCCTCAAAACAAAGTTGGTAATAATACAAACAGTAAGGCTGAGGAAATACTTAATCCTAATTTAATTACACGCTTAACTATTTTTAGATATTAGGGGACTGAAAAGGTCTAATTAGCTGTTCAAACCAAATTTAGGCGTGACAAAATATATATTCAAATTAAATGGTATACTTTTCTATCAGAAATATTTTAAAATGAGCTGCAATTTTATTAATTGATGGATATGTAAGACATTTAAGTTACATATTTTATAACTGTTTTATTCTACTGGTGAACTACATATATAACCAGTGGACACGTAGTCAATATTTCAGAAGGAAGATTTCGGTAAACAGTTATTTAGTCAGTAATTTTAGACAATAACTGATGTATTGAATTCTGTTCTGAAATAAATGATACTTCAGTGGTTCCCTAACATTCATTTTTTTAAACAACTAGAGAAACGTAACAATTTAATAAAAGCACATAAATTTTGAGGGAGTTGTGGAGATTTGGAATTATTTCAAGTTGTTATTCATCGTAGACTGACATTAGTTGGAGGAACAAAGGAAACCTGGAAGCACTGGACCGGAAGAGTCAAAGCCTGATGGCCATGAGGACAAATACTCAGCGATGACATTGGGTGGTGGTTGCGCTATATATCGTGAGCTAACAGAAGTTGGAAATATGGAGCATTGGATTCTGACCCAGTGGCTCAATGGTAACGCGCTGGTCGCGGAACCTGGTGGTCGCGGGTTCGATCCCTGCTGGTGGGGTCGTGGTTGTGCACTGCTGAGGAGTCCCATACTAGGACGAAACAGCTGTCCAGTGCTCCCAGGTTCCCTTTGTTCCTCCAACTAATGTCAGTCTACGATGAATAACAACTTGAAAAGCACATAAGTGTTAACAATTATACTTGTTGAATGTGTCAGTCATGCCCTTTATCAAAATATTCATTTTTGCATTCATTATGAGTGTACACATTAAATATCTGTTAACAATGAAAAATAAGAATATGGTAAATAGATCATTTGTTCAGTTACGAGAGGTGGCATGGATATATCTTGCTCATACTAAACACCCACATAACTCAGTATACAATTTCAATCAAAATCTTGTGTTTGTTGAGCCCACCTGCTAACGATGAAATAAATAAACATGTAATTCTTCAAAAGTCGGTAATTCTTTTTAAGGTGCAACTCCATGCATACTAAAATTACTGGAAAGAGTAATATTGCAAAGGTTTAGGATATATCCTAATGGAAAGTCAGTTTAGTTTATCGTAAATTATACTATATGATGCAGTCCTTATCAATAGAGTTCCAACTGTAGTTATCCACAACTATATCAATCGCTTTGTAAATACATTTGTTAGAAAGTGCATCAGGCGAATAGATAACGGTGGTATACTCGGACTTTTGAACACATACAAATGGACACACTTCTTAGGATTTAGACCAAATAATGGCTAATAGGTAGGACTCTGAATATATTTTATTTAGCTTAAGCTACCACCATCAAACAAATTTAGTCCAATTTGTGTATTCAAAAAACGTTCTGCACCGGAATAAGGAATGTCTAAAACTCCCGTACACTTCCAAACTTTAAGTGCTGTATTAACTTATCGCAAATCACTGCTATCAACAGTCTTTTCATAACTTCCACTGTCAACTTGTTATTATAGCTAACATAACTTCTCACATCACTGTGCTATCAAATCTACAAGATGTTCTCTTTTGTATCAGTGTATTTTCTTTCTTCAGTTAGCTTTAATTGAAATTGGTGACCCAACTTCATTTAGTTTAATTCAATTCTCAAACTGTGAAAGGTTATCTTAAACCACTGAATTAATTTTATTTACCTGTTTTCAAGGAGTGTTAATTTATGGTATGAGGCGATGAATCAAAGTGAAACGAAAGCTAGGTCGTGGTAGAATTCGAAACAGTAGTTTTCGTCTTACTGAATTCGAACTCTGCCATTTGGCACACAAGACCCAAAGAACATATTTTTCGTATGCCACGTTAGTGCGCTATCTGCAATTGTCTGTTCATTGATATCACATGTGCTAATAACAAAACAGTGGAGTAAAATGAACGTATCTCATTTAGTAAATGCTGTTTCAAAGATCACTAAAAGTAAGTAGTGTTTTATCATTTTTAAAGAACAGGAAAACACAATAATTCAGGACAAAAGAAGTTTAGTTAATAAAGTCAAACTATATGAAGGTTAAATAGAGTAAGGTGAGGAATGTTCACAAATGAGTGAGATCAGATTAGAAGTAGAGGAAATTGTGCAATCATGTGAGTTTGGAACAACTAGTCCCTTTGATAAGTTTGCATAACGTATTACGAAGACGGAGGTTACCTGAGAAATGTGATGTATTGACGCAATACATTTCAAACTATCTGTTGTTCGTCTTCTTATTACATTGTGCAACATTGACAAGTGAGTGACATAAAACTATCGCAATAATAACAAATACGGTAACAATGAAACGATAATCAATATGAATATGGATACTAATAAGCACAAAATAAATGTATTAGAAATACTTTTGGGAAAGATGAGAGGGTGAAAAGTCACTCATTACCAGGGTAACAATAAATTGTTAACTGTCTCCTTCTGAACACATAGTTCGGGTTGAATTCACCGGAGAGCGACGACTTCGGGAATTCGAAGTTTGTTGACTAATATGAAAGATTTCAGTGAGTCAATTTTCAGATAAATGACGGATAGACGACTTACCGAAATGCTATAAATGTTTAAGCACACATAATCTTTTGGATTGGAAAACGTTACTTTGTTCTTAAACCAAAGATTCCAGAGAAGAAAATTTGTTTCGACGATTTCATTTTCAAAAGCTTTACATCGTATTTATATATAAGTTGAAGTAGACAATATAAATTGTTTGTGCATTCATTTCATTTTTACAGGTGGAATTGTAAAGTGCGTTACTTAAGTAAGGATAATATTTCATGAATCATCAAATCATTTGGAAAAAGGGGGGATAAAGGTCAAGGACGCAAGATAGGAGGCAAATAAGTGGGTGAATATGATGTGATTTCATTAAAAAGTAGGTGGGTGAAGATTAGATGAAACAATAAGCGTGAATATCAGTCAAATAAAGTGTGATATGATAGGGGTCAAGAGAAGTGAAATCCTTACGAGAAAATAAAATGGATTTAAGTAGAATAAAATATAAAAAAATGAAGAGCTAGATGTATGAAACATGTAAAAAATAGTAAGTTATGTTCAAAGGACCGTACAAACTGTTTCTGTACACATAGTTCTCGTTTAAGATTCTGCATCCCCAAGGTGTCTGTGATACAGAGTAGGTGTATGCGTTCACCTTTCGATAAGTTTGATTCTACCTTGTAAATAATGTCAAATGATAATTCAGAAGCTTTATGTTTATAGTCAGCTACAGACTAAAGGGTTGGTGAATCTATACCTCTACATCTCCCTTCGCTCTACCATACTGGGAAGTGCTCTCGAATGCGATGGGAAATGTTTCTCAATGAAGGCCCAATGTACCTAGCTCCACAACAGCAGGTGAATATGTAGACGCACACTGAATTGGACATTCGTCAGCATTAGGATATACAAAAGGGCAACTGGAGTAGGTAACTCTCAGAGACAGTGCATAGAATGTTTTCCTATTGACCTTGTAAACGGTTTTTAAGTACTTCATCTACATTATCACCTCTAAGTTCTTAATTGATCCAGATCTTCTTTCTTGGTATGCTTTCTGTGTCTAAATGTTTTTTGTTGTCTACTGTTCCATTCTATAAAACGTGGTGGATACCTGTTTTCAATAAAGTTTTGTTCCAATAAATTTAGCTCATTCTCTACACTATCTTCTGTAGAGGTTTTTCGAACTCGTGATGAAAGGGAAGGAACCAAATTTCTTTTCATTACTATGGGAACAAAGATATGAAAATTTGTTAGTTGCCCGTTCCACGTTGTTTTCCTGTAGGTCGGTCTATTCAGAGATCCATCAAGTCATTTTATTAGAACATAAAGAAATGGGATTTCAGAATCCCCTTCTTCTTCAACGGTGAATTTTATTGACGGTTGCCAGTGGTTAAGTTTTTTACTGAGCTTCGCAAATTAAAGGCATTATCACAGACAGTAAACGTATCGTCTATATATCTCTTGTAGACGTCTAGCTTCCTAATAGCTACCTGTAATTATGGATAAAAATAAACTTGGCGTTCCTGTCAACATCTCATTTTTCTTACTATGGAAGTCAGTCATGCTAACTGCAAAACACGTTTAGCTCCTAGTTCCATTCCTGTTCTTTGTAGAGTGGCTCCCGCATAAATTTCAGGCACG